GAACCTGAGCAACTTCAGCAAATTCTTTTGCTCGAGCTTGAGAAGCTTCAGCGTCGATAGACGGCCACGATTGCCTCGGCATCGGCCTTGGCCGTCTCAACCTCAGATTTGGCCACTGCAAGTTTCGTGACCAGCTTCTCTCGATCGGAGGTTGCTGAACCCAACCGAGTCTGGAACTCCTCGATTTTCTTGGCTTGCACCAAGTTCTTCTCTCTCATGCTTTGGAGTTGGTTTTCAGCCGAAGATAGCTGATCCCGAGCATCCTCTTTCTCTGAGTCAAGACGGTCCATATTTTGCTTCCATGCTATGGTCTCTGCCTTCACCCCATCCACTTCTTCCCGAAGTTGGCCGATTATCTCAAGCTTCTGCTAGACTCGTGGGATCGAACTATTAGCCGTCACGCCCGAACCGATGTCATAAACTTCTAAGATTCTTATTACCTGCTCGACCAGGTCGCTTTGTTCTTTCTGAGCCAAACTAGCTTAGCTTGAAGGCCCTTTGCTTTCTCTTCTTTTTGCTCACTGAGAAGCTTGAGGGCTTTTTCTCCTTAGTGAGCCCTTGAATTTCGGCCTCATATCGACTCAGTTCCCCTCGAGACCTAAAGAAATCTTCATGATGAAGTACCGAGGCCTATACAAATAGAAGAAAAAGAATTAAGCAAAAAGAGAAAAAACATAAGTATAGAAACTGATATTGACAAAGGGAGTTGGGGCTTACCCGATTCAAAGCTTGTTGGGCCTCATTAAAAAGACATGGTGCTCCCACCTCGTCCATCAGAGCCTGATCTTCCTCCGTGACCAGACTCCGAAGATAACAAGCCACCCCTACGGGGGCGGCAAGAACTCGTACATCCTCCGGGATCAAGATGCTGATTATTCGTTTGCCCCTGGGATTGACACTAGGGGTCGAAAACTGGCTGGTCAATCTGAAACTCAAGGAAGTTTTGCCCGAGTCCTTCCTCGGTACCTCCAAGTCACTCCCCTCCGTGGGCTCTTTCTACCTAAGGAGTCTTCATGGCCCGAGCCTCCCGAATCATTTCCTCGGAGAATGAAGGAAGCGACAGGGAGTCTCTGATTTCTATTTCCCCAAGTGGGTGTCTTGGGGCGTTCTCTCCATCTCGAGGAGCCTCGAGATCGGCCTCCACAGCCACTTCCGCCGCTTTCTCACCCTGAGGTAAGGCACCTTCGGCTTCAATCGGCTCAATGACTCCAACTGAATCCCCCTCTTGGACCCCGTCAGATCGAGGCAGAATATTTCCAGCTTCGACCGATCTAGTTACCTTTTGACCCTCGGTATTAGCTCGTGCTCGAGCCACCAGACCGAAATCATCCTCATTTTCTTCTTCTTCTTCTTCTTCTTCTTCTTCTTTTTTTTTTCTTTTTTCTTTTTCTTCTTCTTCTTCTTCCGCCTCTCTTAGGAGTTGAACTGACTCCATGGACAGGGGGATCACATTCTTCTTAGGCTTACGAGCCGCTCTACATATACCCTAATTTGTTTGAATAGCCATGTAATCGATTCTATTAAATTGTTCCTTGTGAATTTTGTATCATTTGTACAGTTGATGTTAAAGGTGTTCCTCTTTTGCAATATACTGCGTGTGAGGCCACGATGGGCGTTGTTTTTATGTTATGTTGCGTCGTTGGTTTAGGTATATGTTGTTAGGACTGATTTTGAGATTCTTTGGCATGTGGATAGGCCCAATTACAGGGGAGACTCTGGCGAAATATTTTGAAATTTAAGGAGTTTGTCAAAATTTTGGAACAGTTGGTGTGTGTAATTGAAATTGACTCACACTGTCTTCTAATGGCGGATTTGGACCCTCATTCGAGGACGAATGATCTTAAGTGGGGGAGGTTGTAAGGCCTCGTAAAATTTCACCTAAAACCCGGGGTTTCGTGATGCCATAATACACTTATGTGTTGATGATTGTAGAGATTCTTCGCGGCGAGCATGATAGGCAAGTTCGAAAGTTAAGGAACAAAGAAATTGCCTCCGTGAAAGTGTTATGGCAAATCCAACAAGTCAAAGAGCCACCTGAAAAGCCGAGGACGAGATGAACAAGATGTACCCTAATTTGTTTGAATAGCTATGTAATCGATTCTATTAAATTGTTTCTTGTGAATTTTGTATCATTTGTACAGTTGATGTTAAAGGTGTTCCTCTTTGGTAATATACTGCTCGTGAGGCCACGCTTGGAATTGTTTTTATATTATATTGCGTCGTTGGTTCAAGTATATGTTGTTAGGACTATTTTTGAGATTCTTTGGCATGTGGATAGGCCCAATTATGGGGGAAACTCTGGCGAAATGTTTGAAAATTTAAGGAGTTAGTCAAAATTTTGGAACTGTTGGTATGTGTAATAGCAGCTGAGTCGCATTGGTTTCTAATGGCGGATTTTGAACCTCTTGCTCTCCTTTTCCAGCTTTGGGATAGGGAATGAGGTTTCTTCTTCACCAGATGGGGGCCTCATGATGGCATCTTTTTCGAGACCTGCAAAAAAGGGAAACAGAGTAAGCTCGAAAAGGCGTTTTAGTAAATAATCAAATACAAGAACGGTGACTTACTATGATTTTTAGCCTCTCACCGGCCCTTTGATAGATCGCACCATGTGTGCTCAGCATATGATGATGTCGAGACTAGGCTCCTGACCCAGCACTCAAGGTGAGGGACCGCACCCGGCATCCAAGCAACAGCTACACCGAGAAAAAATGCTGATAAGGAAAAACGAAGAAGTAAAAATGACAAACATGAACTAATAATGGAATCATACTTACATTTCATATTCTATTTCTCGTGAAACGACATGCTCTCAGCCGGAATCAGGTTTGAGGTCCTCGCTCGGACAAACCGACCCATCCAACCTCGATTTTTGTCTTCATCTAAGCTCGAGATAAGTATATTGGTAGCCCGGCATTGAAGCTTTATTAGCCCGGGGCTATACAACCTTATAAGGTGATCGAGGGTGAAAGGGAGCCCATCGATTTTGCTCACAAAGAATCAGAGCAATATTACAATCCTCGAGAAAGAGGTGTGGATTTGTCCGAGGGTTACTTGGTACTTTCTGTAGAAGTCTACGATGACTGGATCGAGGGGACCTAGCGTGAAAGGGTAAGTGTAAACACTCAAGAACCTTTCCACATAGGTAGTGATATCTTCTTCAGGGGTATCACGACTTCTTTATTTTCCCAGTTACAGTCTTTCTTCACTTGTTTGAGGAAACTCTCGGATATCGAGCATATGTATCTCGATACCGGCTCGCATCGACCGGGGACCAATGAGTTTTTCTCGATTTTAAAGTCAGAACTAATAACACACTCCCCGGGAACACACTCCTCAGGGCGTGGCTCCACCGTTGTGTTCTCGCGGGCCAACCGAGGTGATGAGGCATTTTCTTTTTGTGGAACAATTTTAGATGTTTTCTCCATTAGGTTTTGAGGGTAAAGAAGAATGAAGATGATAATTTGGTATTTTAGAAGGGATCAACAATGGAACTTAAAGATTTGAAGGTGAAAAATGTAGAGAGCTTTGAAGATTAGAGCAGAAAAGATTGAAAGTAAAGTTTGAAAGAATGGAAAAGGGACCTATTTACGGGTTTCACGACGACGGTTCAAAGCTGGTAGTGGCCGACCGTCAACTGACACACATTAAATGCCTGGGGAACTGTACCGACGGGACGTTTCGCCACCTCTGTCGCTTACATCATGATGATGACGTCATGACAAATCGGGTGAAGATCGAAGACTCAATTCGTTTCTTGTCATTACACTCAAAAAAATGAGAGGACTATCTGTATACGGTTAAAACCGGGCTCACCCGATTTTTTTGATTAACCGAGACCAGGATGGTGGGCCAAGGATCAACCCCGTGTTATATCAAACCGAGACATGAAGGTGGGTACCGAGCTCAGGATTCGAAGTACCAATCGAGATCGAGACCAAACATGATAGACATCAAGCAAGACCGAAGATAACATACTAACGGAAAGCCGACATATCCGTGACCGGTCGAGCATCGTGACGGAAATCTCGGAACGGATCTAATCAAGAACGGTCATTTAGCCAATTGTGTGTTTTTCTTTTGTATTTAGAATTATACCATAAGTAGAATTCCTCTACTATATAAATGGGGGTTTTAATCATTTGTAATCATCTAATTCTGGCATATCAAAGCAATACAACACTTTTCTCTCTTAAATTCTCTTGTTCTTTAGTTCAGAGCATATTTCTTAACTATATTTTCAGCCGCTTCGAGGGCGATCTAGCTCGAGGGCCAAATTGTATTTCTATACCGGTTTGCTTTATTTTACAGTCAATTTCTAGCATTAATTATCACATTTGTCAATTTGTGCTAGGTGAAATCATATATCCTTAAAATCACTTACAAATTTAATGGTTATCCGATTTTAAGGGTAAGCAACTTTAATTAAGAATATTACCGCCTATGACTCTATGCACTAGTTAGCATTAAAAACCGAATAAACCGAATCCGAAAGGAGAAAAATCGAACCATACTGAATTTAGTTAGGTACGGTATTGGTATAGCATTTTACGAAACCGAATACCGAAGATACCGAACCGAAATGTCTAAATATTGTACCGTACCGACCGACGAACACCCCTAGTTTTGAATGTGAGATTCTACTATTGTTCTGTGTAATTTTTCAGGTAGAATTAGTATAGTATTAGAACATTACATTCAGTTATTTAAAAGAATTTTATTATTAGTTGGTATCGAATTCCTAAATATTAGGCAAATTATTATTAGATTACTATTTTAGCCAATATGGAACTATCTTTTTAACAAAATATTTAAGGATATAAAAGTCGATTAACATTTCAAGTATATTTTAGTCGTTCAACATTTAACGTGAAATATATAGATAGATATAGATAAATATAGATATAGATAGATAATAATATTAGTATAGATAGATCGTTTTGTGTTGGCGCAATGTACGTCACGAAACTATAAATATTTCAACACGAACGTATAAATACAGAAATATTTTTTAAAATAGCCCCAATCCAAACAAGGGTGAAATCTCCGAAGCGTCTGTCCGGTTTCCCAAGCAAACAGGGAACTCACGAAACCACAAACCCTCTCTTATCGCCTTCTTCCTTCCTCCCACAAACTCAACCCTTATACAAATTCACCGACCACAGACAAGATCCGGTAATTTTACTCCTTTTTTTTCAAATTTCTTCCGATCGAATTCCAGTATAATTGATTAATTTCTCTCTTCAATATTCAGTTTTGTCTATGTCTCTGTGTGTATGAATTTTTTGGTATACAAGATAACCCTAGATATAGAGAAAGTTGATATTAAAATGTTATTTTGTAGGTTGAAGTGTTGTCGTAGCTAGCTAGTGAACGCTAGCTTATACACATCAGCTATTAGCTGAAAACCCTAGATTTTGTTTCTCCAAATTATTGTTTATTTTGCTGTTTGCTGTTTGTGATTTTATTTATTGCTTTAATTGTGTATGTTCTGCTGTAAGTGCTTACTTTTGTGGTATTTTTGGTTCTCGGATTGATTTTTCTTTTTTAATATTCTCAATAATGCTTAAGTTCTCATTTCTGGCTGGAAGGAATTCGCTTTTGGGTGAATTAGTTCATTTATAGTACTGGAGTCGGGGCAGGCAACAACTAGCTTGGGCTTGAGGCTTTAGTTGATTTGATTGTTAATAGGACTACTTCCCTGCTCCCTCCTTATTGTTTGAAGTTGTCTAGTAGCTAGCTAGTAAGCTCCTGCTTTATACTCATCAGCAATTAGCTGAAAAACTCAGGATTCTGTTTCTCCAAATTAGTATTTTTTTTAACAATTACGGCGTAGTATGTTTTTTAACAATTACGGCGAAGTATACTTCCCCAACCAATTATAGCCTATATTCTTTTTTTCGTACCTAATTTAGCTTATTTTGTAGATAATTTGAAACCTCTTTTCACCTATTAACATTGTAATTATATTAAGAAGTTCTTAGCTAGAAACTGTTTGAGGTGATATTCATGTTTATCATCACAAATTTAAATATTGTACCGAGAACTAAAAGTGAAAAATTAAAAATGTCATGGTTGGGATTTTTAAAATCTTGAAAAACTCATAAATGGGTTTTGTGATTTGTTGAAGTTTTTGACAAATTGAAGTTTGGGGTGCGCTGGGATGTCATTTTGAAGTTGTGGTTCAAATTTGAAGCTATTTGGTGATACTTTTTGTGAGTTAGAAGTTCTTAGGATACAAAAGCTAGATTTTGTATACAACATTATACGACATTATGCAATATTATAATAAGTGGATAAAGTGTATACCTGGTGCAAACACTGTTTCAAAAAAAATAATGGGCTATGCGGTTGTGAACTTAAAAACATGGCGTACAATATAGTGTGTTGTGTTATACTTTTGTGCAAATCTCTTTTTCTTTGGGGTATGCTATTTGGGTTTTCTTTTTATAGATTTGATTGTGTAATGTTGCATATTTTTCTGGTATTTTCGGTTATGGTTTTTTTTTTCTTGATGGTGGTGTCCAGACCCACCTGTGCCCACCTTACTATTCTATAGGGTACATGTTATCTCCCACCAGGTATCGAGTAGGTAACTCTGTCAACTCATGTTTGAATAGATAGGCATAAATCACCTATTACTTTTTTTTTAAACTAGTAAAAAGAAAGCTTGGGGCATGTAAGAATGCTCCCAGGCACTTTTCCCGGACTAACTTTTCCTAGTCTTTCTTTTCATTCTAACTACTTTTTCAGGGGGTTATTCCGGCAGCATAGTTGGTTTCTAATCAGGCTCACTAACATTCTTGGTATTAAATTCAGGCTCACTAACATTCTTGGTATTAAATTCTTTTTAGTAGACATGGGCGATAACACAATTTACTTTGCAGTGGGATTCGAGTCCTATGATATCATCAAAAGCGCCAATAGAGGTGAGGAGTGGTACAAATGGACGGAACGTGGTCGGAACGTGATCAGAACCTTATAAGAAGAACAACCTTTAGCCGGAGGACGATGGGGTGGATATGCGAGACTTTGAAGGAAGCTTCAAAAGTTAAGAGGAATTATGTGAAGAGATGGAAACTTCATGATCACTCATCAGAAGTTTTCTGTGCCAAAAACTTCAACAGATATGGCTGTTAAGTAACAATCATTAGCATTCAAGGAAGTAGGAGATCAGTTATAATCATTCCTGAAGTGGCATTCAATACGGGGTGGCTGGATATTGCACTAAAGATTGAGAGGTTCATTAATTACAAAGGTCATTTGTTAGTTACAAATGTTCCCAAACGTACCGAGGAAGGCCTTCTCTATTCCGACACTATCAAAAGGTATAAATGGTCATCTAGAGACATTCAAGAAGCTACAATTCAGGCAATAAGAGGCATTATACACATCGAGGGAGGAAACAACTCAATTCAAAATGATCTTCTTGAGCGAAGTATGGTGGGGAGCCTCTTAGAAGATATTTTTGATATCCCAACCCTGTCGGAAATTCGTCGATGGGCCAGCAGCTCTTGGAAACGGGTACATGGAACTAACATATACGAGATGGGTCGCAATCGCTTTCTCTTTGAATTTCATTCTAAGGAAATTATGAGAGGTGTCTGGTTCCGGAAAAAACACAAACCCAACCTCCAATGGTGGTCGCCAGTAGTGGGTTCTGTCCCAAGAAAAGAAAAGGTGAATCATGTCTGGATCAGATTGGTAGGGCTTCCTCTTCAACTATGGTCCCAAAAAGTTTTCAAGGAAGTTGGAGACTACTGGGGTGGCTGGATTCAAACTGAAGAGGAAACGAAACTGAGAAACCACTTGAAATGGGCGAGGTTGAAGGTTAAAGGAGATGGCGATGCAGTTTCGAAAGTAGTAAAGGTGGAGTTCGAAGGAATCCATGGAAATTCAGATCTGGTGCGAAGCTCCAGTAAGAACCAGTACGGGAGCTGTTGCAGGCGCACGGACCAGTGAGTAATCGAAGAAATCTCATTCGGGGGAGGGGGGGCTTAAGAAAAGTTAGATCTGACAGGGCACGTGGGTTCTTCAAAAGTGGCGGAGGCACTGAGTAGCTATAATTTAGGGTCTTCATGTAGGGTCTCACGTGAGATAGGGCTATCAGTTCCTATTTCTAATGAGGGTCAAGTTTTTAAAATAAAATCTTTGGGCCAAATTTTTTGGCCCAAAGTATTTCAGATATTAATGCCCAGAGGGCTGCTAACATAGAGCCCAGGACTGACCCACATCAAGAAGAGATTATGGCCAATAATTATACACCTCTGTTTGGAACTCAGTTAACGAGTTATGAAGAGCTGATTTCTACGAAAGAGAATCAAAGAGAAATTGAAGAAGGGGTAGATGTCCAACAACATATGATCGAAGAGGAAGATGCTATGACAATCTTCAAAGAAACAGGAAGTCAGGAGAGAGAAAATTAGGGTTTCAGCAACAAACACATGCAAACTTCAGAGGTGGAAAAATTTGTGGGTTTGGTAATTGAAGAAGCTACTCCTCTAAATTTACAGAGTTTAGAGGAAGAGAAGAACCCAAAATTTGAGACCTCAATTTGGGTACACCAGAACATAATCAGACTCGAAAAGGAGTTTGGGATACATTTTCAGGGATGCGAGAGAGAAGCTTTGAAGTTTTTCATGAAAATTGACAACAAAAGACAAGAGAACAAAGGTTTCCAGATATGCAAATGTCAGAAACTCCTCGGCGAAAATGGATTAAAAACTAAAGGGGTTGGAAATAGGAAGCGACTTCAGAAGCAATGGTACTTGAAGTAAGGGGGGGTGTATGGTTATCCAGGGACCAATGAAGGTAAACATTTCTCTCATGGAATGTTAGGGGGTTGAATCGACATAGAAAAAGAATGTTGATCAAGAGTTTAATTCACAAGTGGAAAGCAGATGTATATTGTTTTCAAGGATCCAAAATCGAAGGAGACATTGGGGAGATTGTGAAAGAACTGTGGAATAATAGATGGGGGAAATTTGCACAATTGGAAGCTAGTGGGATTGGAGGGGGCATATTAGTTATGTGGGATGGTAGAATGTGGGAAGGGGAGATTAGTAGCTTAGGTTCTTATACAATAACCTGTAAATTTTTTGGTAAATGTCAGGGATTCACCTGGTACCTATCCAGTGTATATGCACCAAATCATATGAAGGAAATGCATAAAGTCTGGTGGGAATTAGCAGGAGCTAGGGTACTCTTTGAGGGGTCATGGGTGGTATGTGGGGATTTCCACACAGTGAGGTTTCCATCAGAGAAGCACTGCAATAGAATCTCTAGAGCAATGAATGGATTTTCAGAGTTTATTGAAGACATGGAGTTGGTGGATTTTCAAGTGGCAGGAGGTAACTACACTTGGAGAAAAGGCGACATGCATGTGATATCAGCTAGGTTGGACAGGTTCTTGATCTCTATGGATTGGAATGAGAGCTTCAGAAACATTAAGCAATCAATCCATCATAGAGTGACATCTGACCACTCCCATGTGATGCTTCAATGTGACAATTGGGATTCAGTTAAATCCTATTTCAAGTTTAAGAACTGGTGGCTTCAAATTGAGGGCTTCCAATCAAGGATTAAACACGGGTGGAACTCTTTTAATTGTGAAGGAAGACCTGATTTTATTCTGGCCTTTAAACTTAAAGCCCTGAAGGCAAAATTAAAGGAATGGAGTAAAACACTACAAGGAAATCCGGAGATGCAGAAACTTAATCCTCAACCAACTAGCTGAACTAGAGGAAATACATGATCAAAGATGTCTCACTGAGGAAGAACTACATGTTAAGTCTGCTTTAGCTCTAGAATTTGAAGAGATTGCTAGAAATGAGGAGGTGGCTTGGAGGCAAAGATCTAGGGATCTTTGGTTGAAACAAGGGGATAAAAACACTAAATATTTCCACAGAACTGCAAATGCTCATAGGAGGTACAATAACATTGACAAATTGATTGTAGAAGGGGAAACTATGGAGAATCCGACAGACATAAAAGAGGAGATTGTAACATTCTACCAAAAGCTATATTCTGAACCAGAAATATGGAGGCCACATGGCAATATCATAAATTGTCCTAGGATTTCTCCAGAGGAAAACTTAATTTGCAAAGTCCTTTTGAAACTCAGGAGATTTGGGAAAGTGTAAAGGCTTGTGCAGGGGACACCAGGTCCTGAGGGATTTTCTATGGCTTTCTTCTTTCAATGCTGAGAGGAAGTAGTAACTGCAATCCACAATTTCCATGAGCAGGGTGTGTTTGAAAAGAGCTTTAATGCCACCTTTGTGGCATTAATTCCCAAGAAGATGGGGCTAAAAAGTTGAAAGATTTTAGGCCTATAAGTTTAATAGGCAGTGTTTACAAGATCATATCTAAATTAATGACTGAAAGACTCAAAAAAGTGGTAAACAAGCTGGTGGATGCTCAAACAGATGGCTTTCATTAGGCCAGACAGATAATGGATGCCATTTTAATTGCCAATGAATGTGTAGATGCAAGATTGAAAAGCAAAGAGCCTGGAATATTATGCAAACTGGACATAGAGAAGGCATACAATCACTTAAATTGGAACTTTTTGTTGGAAACTCGGACTAAAATGAGCTTTGAGGATAGGGATAAAATTTTGCATCAGTACAGTAAAGTTTTCAATTATGGTTAATAGTTCACCAGCTGGTTTCTTCCCTTCTCAGAGGGGTTTGAGGCAGAGAGACCCTTTTATCTCCTTTTCATCAATACTATGGAAGGATTGAATGGTATGTTGAAAACTGCCCAATTAAACAATTGGGTAAGGGGTTTTAAGGTAAATGCTAGGGCAGACAACAATTTGGAGATATCCCATCTACAATATCCCGATGACACTATTGTATTTTGTGAGGCTGACAGTGAGCAACTGAAAGTGTTAAGGGCAGTTTTTGTCTTGTTTGAAGCTACATCAAGTTTTATGTATCTAGTTAATAATGTAAGTGAGATGCAATACTTGTCTAGAATTCTTGGAGGTAAAATAGGGGAGCTGCCGTCAGCCTATCAGGGAATGCCATTGGGGGCAAAAAACAAATCAAAAGGGATATGAAATGGTGTTGATAGAGAAATGTAAAAAGAAGTTGACTAACTGGAAGAGTCAGTACCTATCAATGGGGGTAGATTAACTCTGATTAAAACTTTGTATTAGATGCTATGCCTACTTACATGATGTCCTGTTTCCAATTCCTGAGAGGATAGATGCTTTAAGAAGGAACTTCTTGTGGGAAGGGAACTGTGTTAAGAAGAAAATACATTTAGTCAAATAGAACTCTCTTGCTATTAACAAAAAGGATGGGGGTTGGGAATAAAGAACTTGAGAACTCAGAATCAAAGCTTGATGATGAAGTGGTTATGGAGATTTGCCGAAGAACAATCCTTATGGAAAAAGGTGATTAGGGAGAAGTATGGTATGAATGGCAAATGGACAACCAAATCAGTGAATGGGCCTCATGGGGTTAGTCTATGGAAATCCATCAGGAATCTATGGCCTAAATTCATGAACAAAACAAGTTTCAGTGTAGGAAATGGCATAAAGATATCCTTTTGGAAGGATAACTGGTTAGGGCAAGGATCTTTGAGTCAAATGTTTCCTGACATCTACATCCTCAATCAACAACAAGAAGCAACAATAGGAGAGGTATGGAATATGCAAGTGTGGAATCTTACTTACAGAAGATTGTTAAATGACTGGGAGATTGGTAGACTAACAGAGTTCTACAATGTTTTAGAACAGTTTAAAGGAATTTCAAACTTTGAAGACTGTTTGAATTGGCAAGGAAATAAAATTGGGAAGTTCTCTGTTAGATCAGCTTATAATGAATTCAGCCTTTCCATGAACCAAGTTGGTTGTTGGCCATGGAAACTGATTTGGAAAGTTAAAATTCCTTATAAAGTTGCTTGCTTTACTTGGTTGTTGGCAAAGGAGGCAGTGTTGACACAGGACAACCTAGTCAAGAGAGGATATCAATTATGCTCTAAATGCTAGTTGTGTGGAGAGGAGGCAAAGACAATTAGTGCTCAACTATGGAGAATTTTTATCAACTTAAGGGGTATTATGTGGACTGCCAAGAAGAATTCCTGAAGTTCTTGCATGTTGGAATAGAGATGTAATTTGTCCTATCAGAAGCAGAGATGGGGGATTGTCCCTACTTGCATCTGGTGGACAATTTGGGAAAAGAGAAACAAGAGATGTTTTGAAGACAAGTATAATCATGTACAGGAGATAAAAATGAAGTGTCTATTGTTGTTCTACTTTTGGTGTAAAGGAAAACTTTTAGAAGAACATGAGCCTTTTTGATGTTTTAGATTCCTTGTGAGAAGACCAAGGATTAGGAGTCTTTTTTCCTCTCCTATGTAATTATGGGTGACTCCACATTTTTTGTGTAGTCTTTATATTAATATACAATATGTAACCTACTCAAAAAAAAAAAAAATCACCTATTGCTTTTTGGTTTCATTGGGATTTAAACCCGAAGCTTCATGGCGATCCTCCCACTTTATCAGTTTAGCGACACCCTTGGATGCATTTTTCGGTTATGGGACTTGATTCTTCATTTTTACTATTCTCAATAATGCTTTAATTCTCATTTCTGGCTGGAAGTAATTTGCTTTTGGGTGAATAAGTTCAATTATAGTACTGAAATTGGGGCCAGCTCCAACTAGTTTGGGGATTGAGGTTTAGTTGATTTGATTGTTAATTGGATTACTCTCCTCCCTATTTGCTTGTGGACTTTTGGCCTGCCACAATTATTAACAGAATGTGTAGAAACATACCCGGGTATATATTTTCTGTGACATTTTAAATGAATGGAAAAGAGGATAAAGATGTGAATAGTTAAAGTGCGTCTCATAAACTTTTTACGGTATTTAAAATGTTTTAGAACCTTCAATTTAAATCAGGAGAAGCATTTTAGGGCGATGGGGTTCTTTAAATTGGTTGATGGCTATTATGAGTATCTCGTTAGATAACAGAGTTGAAATTTTGACGGTTCCTTCTGAATTTTCTTGTTAAATTTTCTTTTGACTGGTGTCATGTTGCCTATTTGCAGCCTATCTATTGTTGATGTGCTGTACTGCTTATGCTGGAAGCATGGTGAAATCAGAAGGCAAAGTTGTGTATTCTTCACTTGCTAATTTGGAAAAGGACAATGTGAAATTTCAGTTTGTTGAAGACGAAGTTGATGAAGATTCATTCGGGAGATTCCCAGAAGCTTCCCAGTCTGCTGGGCAAAATTATCTCTGTGGGTACCCTTCGATCGAATCTGATGATGTATTAGATAGGGGATATGATTCTGGTAATGACCCATATAACTTCGTGCCACAAAATCGTCCTCCTGAGGTCAATTTAAAAAATGTCTTGAGTGGGCTAGTTGCTATTGTAACTGGGCAGAATAAAGGTCATGTTTCAGATGCAGTTCCTCAGTTGCCTAGTTCTGATGTTTCATTTCTTGGATCTAGTAAGAATGGAGATACTTTCTTGCACTCATCAGTTTACATACCAAGTGCTCCCCCACTAGTTGAACCAAGTGCGTTTAACTATAGTGCTTACAAGGATGTGTTGGAAGCTGAGCCTCCAGAGTGGCTCCCAGACAGTTCTACAACTGTTTGCATGCAGTGCACTGCGCCTTTCACGGCCTTTACTCGTGGAAGACATCATTGTCGGTTTTGCGGAGGGGTTTTTTGTAGGACATGTACAAAAGGGAGGTGCCTGTTGCCCATGATGTTTCGGGAGAAGAACCCCCAGAGAGTGTGTGATTCCTGCTATGATAGGCTTGATCCAGTGCAAGGCGTTCTCATCAACACCATCAGCAACGCTGTGCAGGCCGCAAAGCATGATGTTATGGACTGGACTTGTACGAGAGGTTGGTTGAACCTTCCAGTGGGTTTATCTATGGAATATGAGATATACAAGTCATCAAACACATTGAGGACTTATGCACAGGTCTATTATATTTACTACTTTTTCTTTTCCTAATTCTGGTTGCTCTAACCTCAGATCACCACTGTGTCTTTTGTTACTATTGAGATGAATATTGACAACTTTTTTTCTTTTCTTTGGATACTCTCTCTCTCTCTCTCTCTCTCTCTCTCTCTCTCTCACACACACACACACACACACACAGGGCTCGTATGACATTCCGTCGTCCCTCTCTTCCTGTACGGTGTAAACAAGAATGGAATCAGTTCCAGAAGATTCTGATAGTAGAAGATCCTATCAGAATCTTCAGATTCGTTTGTGCTTGACTTGCTGTCCCTACCGTGCAACTTCTGCCTTGTGATGCTGATTAAATCTTGTAATGCACAGGTTGCTCGGTTGAATCCTGAGAGGTCCATACCTGGTGCAGTTCTCAAAGGAGCTAAAGGTCTGGCAATATTAACGGTTGCTAAAGCTGGGGTGCTTCTTACTTATAAACTTGGTACTGGCCTGGTGGTTGCACGAAGATCTGATGGTTCATGGTCTGCACCATCTGCTATAATATCAGCCGGTTTGGGATGGGGTGCGCAGGTATACTTAACGGTCTTTGCTAGTGAGTCTTTTTCAGGTTTGAGAATGCAGTCAGTTTAGATTATGTAGAATACTAAATTTTAGGAATTCAGATGAGTTGAGTGATTGACTATGCTGTCTTTAATCAGATTCATTTTCTGTTTTCTGCCAAAGGTTGGGTCTGAATTATAAGTATTTTATGTCAAAGGGGAACAAAAAGATCCATGGGCATGTAATCGGCATTTTTCTTTACCCTAATTGACAAATACTTTTTGGTTTTTCCTGAATTAAGAATTTGATCCATTTCTCTCTACTAAAATGAATGGCTTATTCTCCTATTAACTAAATAGTAGAGCACATATTTATTGCATTTGTTTTTTGCTACTTTTTTCATCATCCTTTGTCCAAAAGATTGATATTTGTCTCTGTGTAGATTGGAGGCGAGTTGACGGACTTCATTATTGTGCTACATGACTCTAAGGCTGTGAAGACATTTTGCAGCCGTATGCATTTTTCTCTTGGTGCTGGTTGCAGTGCTGCAGCTGGTCCAGTTGGGAGAGCTGTGGAGGCAGATCTTCGAGCTGGAGAGAGAGGTTCTGGCATATGCTATACTTACAGTTGTAGTAAAGGTAAGTAGCTTCTTTTGGGCCTAGATTTTCCGTAACATATCATGAAAGTTTGTTTTGAATTTCCAATATTCAAGGTTGGCCTTGTGCCATGCCTTAGGTCATACAAGAATTACTTGATACAATCTTGTGCAGACATTGGAGCTATTAATCATCTTTGGTCATGCATATGTTAAAATTCGGAAATATGAGGAGGGACACGAGTCTCGATTTTTGTTTTAACTGTGTCTGGAATTTTGTTTCAGAAGTTTGTCAAAATAGTAAGGGCGACCTCACAAGCCAGTGCCTATGTGAAAACTCTTAGGAAAAGATAAAATCCATTGTCACACAGTAAAAGACCTCTTATTCATGCAAATTGCACTTTTTTGTATGCATAGTTATATCGAGATTCAAATGAATTAATCCAAAACGAGTCCAAAGTATGCTGCTGATGACTCTTTAGAAAACGGAGCGGCCAGGCACATTATTACCGTTTCCTCTCTTTGGTGGCTATCTCCTGCACCAGTGGGGGTTATCAGCAAAACTGTGATCGCTTAATTCTCGTTGGGTTTGACTTGTGTGCTTCAGGTGCATTTGTGGGAGTCTCGCTTGAGGGGAACATCGTCACGACACGGATGGATACAAATCTCCGATTCTATGGGGATCCTTACCTTACTACAGCTGACATCCTTCTTGGGACAGTGGAGAGACCCAAAGCTGGAGAACCCTTGTATGCTGCACTCAGAGACCTATATGAAAGCTTTCCACTACGCTTGAAAGGAGTCCATGATTAAAATGGTGAGATGTGTTGGGTCTTGCAGTCCCTTGTTCATACTAGAAGAAATGTGAAGTATTTGGTTTAATAGGGTAGAGGAATGTCCTTTTGAACCAGGATAATAGCTTCTCTCCCTTGTACATAAACAATATACTTGTACATATATACTGTTATGATTCTGATAATTTGGAGTTAATTTTCATGCTATGGATATTTGTCAGATATACTACTAGGGTATGACGGATCTGGTAAGTGCTAAAATTGGTTATTATTGCTGTAGATGGCTTCTATTGTGGCAAAATAGGAACATAACATGAAAATGCAGCAGTTCTTTCAATAGCATGAACATCAAGCTGTTGAAATTGTAGGTAGACAGCTTAGGAATAGTGTATTGCCGTCTCATGAACTTTTTCATTTCTGCTGATGAAAAAAGGTGATAATAATTGAGGGAGTACATGTTTAAGATTCTTATTGCACTTTTTCCTCTAATGAGATAATGGTTAGATTGGTCCAGAGACAAGTGAAACAATCCAGCACTTGCCGTATTGGCCAAATTTGCATGATTGACTTATATCTGCTTGATTGAAAAACTATTGTAAGATTAGAGACTGCCAAAAGCTGATTCTATTGCCCCACATTATCTTAGAAGAATAATCACAAATGCAAAACAGCAAATTTAAGAGTAAGATTCACAAATCGTTAAGCAGTCATGATACGGAATCGTATAGAAAACACGGATAATGCAAAAATACACGGAATCAAAAAGATAGAAGATTAGGGTTTAAAATAGAGAAAGACAAGAACCTAACTATGAACTAGTTAGATACGAAACACGGATTAAGCTAAGTAAAGAATGCAATCCAAACTAGAACAATGAATTAACATCCAAATACAAAAGATAATCCAAGAATATGAACATGAACTCATACATGATAAACCTAATATAGATAGTCTAAAAACATGGTAAATAAAGAGAAATAAAAGATATCCTAAACCTCTCAAGGTTTGGTCTATTTAGGCTAGATGACTAAAATACCCTTAGGCTAGTAAAGAAGCTAAGTAGACCTATATTATAAGACTAGCCTAAATAGCTAAATTGTCAATATAGCCTTCTTGATCTTGATTCCTTTAAAGCACTCCAATGCTATGATGTTGACTAGGAAATCATCCTCATTAAGCGTGCTCATCCGGCTCGTATCAAGTCACGAACAATCGATAAGCAAAACGAAATATACAGATTCTTATTTTTATGTTTCGGAATTTGTGATTATATAGAGATTTGTTGGTCAATTGAACGCAGTACATGCCTTGTAAACTACTCAACTGGAAGATAAAGTTTCCAATGCGACCGAGAATAAGGTCGTAGCAAATCGAGTAAGTTTATAACTAGCATTGTTGTAAATTGTAATACGTAGTATAAACCGGAAATTCCAGTATAGTTTTTGCATCATTAGTTATAAAGCCCAGATGGTTTCATCTATTTGCTAATCACATCCATCGGAGATTTGGCTAAATAGAGAACTTTGGTGAGGGGGGTGAATCATCGAAGCCAAAATAGTGGCAAGAACTTGACATTGACAGAGCCATTGCTCCATTTTTCATGTTAGATTCATTGTTGGACCTTGTTACCGTGCCAGACATTCAAAGTTATGCACACCTATTGTCAACTAATAGTAGAATATCATTATCAAAACATTTGAGTACTTTTGGCTAATAGAACAATCTTGGAGAAGAATAAGGGTGATAACAACTACTCCCTCGTCACAATTTAGAACACACATTTTTCTTATTAGTCTGTTCCAAAAAGTATGACACATTTTTATATTTAGAAACAATTTAACTTTAAACTTTTCATTCTGCCAATTTTATCCTTAATGAGAAACTTTTATGGCCATACAAATATCATGACCCCACTAAGCTTTTGCCCATGAAGCTTTTAGCATCACATGTTTCAAAAGTCTTTTTTTATTTCTTAAACTTTGTGTCAAGTCAAACTACATCATCTAAATTGAAACGGGGGAGTATTTAGAAATCACTAAAATATGTGGAAAGGATAAGGGAAATCACATGACTTGAAACTTCAGTCATTTAATTTGCTGATATAAAACTTGCCAAATCATATGGATTCATAATGCAATGGAGTTTATTTGTATATATGATTATGTATCATCAAAGTAAACAAAAAAAGCATGTCCTATATTATATAATAGTGGGAATAAAATTTAATTTGTTAAAATAATCACTTTTCAAAATTGTTTCAGGAATTGATACATTTCTACAACATTTTTTAATATATAAGAGTCGAAGATATCAGCCCCCTAAAATTGCAAATAACTGTTTTTACTATTTAGCCTACAAAAGAGGGTATTTTAAATACAAATCTATTATTTGAACAGTGGCTCTTATAATTATGAAATGACTCTCTAAAATAGTACTTTACATTAAAAGTTTGTGACGTAAAGATTTTGATACCTGGTAGATTACCATAATAGAGGCAATTTGAGTGAATTGTATAAAATTATCAATATATTAGTCTTAAGGTACCACACGTGTACTTTGTATCAATGAGAATAATTTTTTAAAAAACAACATAATAATATTAAAAAGATGTGTTTGTTTTTTTAAACTAGAAATAAAAATTAACAAAGCATTACAAGTTCCTGAAAATAATAATCACGTTTAGAGTTTTGATCTATTCTAATCATGCTTCTTTTAGTTTCAGTACATGATACATTGTACAAAAACATTAGGAACATCGTTTGAATGAAAGGTAAAAAGATCATTCATCTGTACATGAACATTTTGGCATTTTAGCCTTTTATTTTGGGCGTTTCACTTTATTGATTGTCATAAAAATCAAAGAATATAATTTATATACTATATTAAAAGCACGAAGGCCCTTAGCAAAATGTCGTTCGCCTTTTTTACCCTTTAAAAATAGAGTTCCCACTAGATAAAATAGTCATTTAATTATTTTCCTAATATTAAAGAATATCTATTTAATTATTTTCCTAATATTTAGGACTTCCAAATCAACTAAATATTATATGTTGAATCCCTCAACAATATATTTAAATAGAAAATTAACACCCAAAAGGACTAAAGTAGGAACGTTTCGTTCACTTAGAACTCTTTTTAGATTTAGAAGTCTATATTCTTTGTATAGAATTATAACCAATTATTTATTTATAATTTTAGTAAAATAAAGCTAATTGAAAGAGAATAAATTTAAAAGTACAAATAAAGTCTCGTGCATGTTTATCCTTAAAATTGGATAACAATTAAACTTATAATGTGATTTTAAGGACACGTGATTTCACCAAATACCAATTGATAAATATGAAAATTAGTAATAGAAATTAACAATAAGATAAAGCAAACCAGTGCTGAAACAAAATTCAACCCTCGAGCTAGAGTGCCCTCGAACTAGTCGATATTAGAACAATTATGAATAAAGCAGAAGTAAACTGATGAACAAGAATGTATAAGCGGGAGAGAAAGTGTTATATTGCTTTGATATGTGTGAACAATGTGTGTTACAAATGATTAGAATTTTCCTTTATATAGTAGAGGAATTCTACTTATGGTATAACTCTAATTACAGAAGGAAATCTCATGATTAGCTAATTAACTGTTTCTGATTTGATCCGTTCCGAGATTTCCGCCATGATCTTCGACCAGTCATGGATATCTCGCCTTTATGTTATTATGCTATCTTCAATCTTGCCCGATGTCTGTCTCATTTGGTCTCGATCGCTATTGGCCTCGATCTCGATAGGTACCTCGAATCCCGAACTTGGTACCTTGTCCTCGTGCTTTGGTCTGATCCACTACGGGGATGACCTTCGATGCAACTCCCTGGTCTTGGTCAAATAGTAAAATTGGATGGGTCCGGTTTTAACTATATACAGATAGTCCCCTCGTTTTTTGGAGTGTAATGACAAGAAACGAATTGAGCCTTCGATCCTTGACTTGTCATGACGTTACCTCCGTGACGTAAGCGATAGAAGTGACCGAAACGTCCCGTCAGTGTAGTTCTCCAGGCATTTAATGCATGTCAGTTGGTGGTTGGCCACTAGTGGTTTCGAACCGTCGCCGTGAAACCCATAAATAGGCATTTTTCCTATTTACTCAAACTTTACTTTCAATCTCCTCTATTCTTCAAAGCTTTTTACATCTTCTAAGTTCTTCCATTCTACAAGATCTTCAGGTTTTGTTGTTAACCCCTTCTTAAACATCAAATCCCAATAGCTTCTTCTTTCTTCAAACTCAAACAAAAATGGCAAAAATGTCAAAAACGGTACCACAAAAAGAAGATACTTCATCTTCTCAACCGGCCGGCAGAAAAGCGCCAGTGGAACCCCGCCTTGAGGAATGTATTCCTGGGGGGTGCGTACTAAACTCTGATTTCAAGATAGGGAAGACCTCATCGGTTCCCGGTCGTTGCGATCCGGTATCGAGATACTTATGCTCGATACCTAAGAGCTATCTCGACAAGGTAAAGGAGGATTGCAACTGGCAAAAGAAAGATGTAGTGATTCCGGGCCCAGATGAGGCTATTACTACCCACATGGAAGGGTATTTGAGTGTTTACACTTATCCTTTCACGTTGGGTCCTCTTGACCCAATCATCGTGGACTTTTGCAAGAAGTACCAGGTAACCCTCGGTCAGATTCACCCCTCCTTCTGGAGGATCATCATATTGCTCAGTTTTTCTCGAGCAAAATTGACGGGCTGCCCTTCACCCTCGACCACCTCATCAGGTTATATTGCCCCCCGGCTTTACCGAGGTGGGTTAACAAAGCTCCAACGTCGAGCCACCAAAATCTTCATCTCCAGTATAGACGAGGACAAGGACCGAGGCTGGATGGGTCGATTCGTCAGGGTGAAGACCTCGGACCTAATTTCGGCTGAGAAGATGCCTTTTCCTGAGAAGTGGAATATGAAACATAAGTACGATCCCCTTCTATTTCTTACTTGGCTTTTTTGCTTTCTCTCACTGATGTTCTTTTTCGATGTAGCCGCTGCATGGATGCCCAGTGCCATCCCCGACATAAAGAGCTGGGTCAGGGACCTAGTCTCGACATCGACCTATGCTGAACGCCAATGGCGCGATTTATCGAAGGGCCGATGGGAGGCCAAAATTCATGGTAAGCTTTCTTTCACGTGTATAGTGGATTGATCAAGATATTCTTCTCATACTAACTCAATTTTCTTGTATACA